CCCCCCCCCCCCCCCATTGCGTGGCCCTGTGGCTGTGCAGCCTCCTTTCCCTCCCCACCCTTAAAATCATTAAAACCAGAGAAAACTGTGATATTTCCAGCATCTTTTGATTCTGGGTCTGTGTGTGGCCTCTTCTACCTGCTCAAAAGGGATGTGGAGCTTTTCCCTCTCCCCCCTGCCCCCACCAAGGGTCTGGCATCTCCTCTGTAAAAGGTACAGGCTGGGTAGGGAGCTTATTTTGAATTTTTTTTTGTGATTTTTGTGTTACGGACATGCATGTACATGCCTGGGCAACAACGTTCTGCCCTTCCCTCTGCAGGGCAGCGTTGGGGGTGGTGAACGGTCACCGTGTCGGGGCTCTGCTCCTCTTTGACTTGGGGAATCATAAAAGGAACAAGGAAATGCAGATTCTGTTCAGGCAGTTTGATTTTTATATTATCTCAGAAGTAGAGGCACGACCGGCAGCATTGAGCTTATGAAGGACACAGAAGCCTCCGGGTTGCTGTTACAGAAAGGCAGATTTGCTCATGGTGGGTTTTGTCCCACTGAAGGCAACAGTTGTCCTTTTCCCATCTTGCAGTACCAGGAAGCAGCCTCCCAGGGACAGGACTGGAATTAAACCCGGTATTTTCTCAGCGCCCAGGCAACAATTCCTCTTCTTTACATCAATTTGCCTTCCCCGTTGAATCCTTTTTGTATCCCCCCCACTTCCCTGAGCTGCTTTGGAAAGCCAAAGGTCTTGCAGTGACGCTAAAGATGACCAAACTACGGGGGGAAAGAGCAGGTTGTGAGAGGCAGGATGCTCAGGATGCCCCGCCAGCACTCCCATCTGCACAGCAAACTGGTCCAGCTTTCGGCTGCGATTGGGGTGCTGGGATCTGGACAGGGAGGGTTCTCTTTGCGGTTTTTGGGGGAGGGCAGGAAGGTGGGTGACAAATTGGTGGGGTGGCTGCTGCCTGCACCCAAGGTGCCCGCTGCCTGGTGCCTCCTGGGTTTGCTGGAAATCTGAATCGGGTTGGAATTACTGTCCTGGACAGATGCCACGGGAGTTACCTTGAATGGCTTTTCACCCACTATTGAGCCACCTGCTCGGTGTTGATGGCACTTGCCCCCCTGGAGTGGTGGCATTTGGGGGCACGGGAAGACAAGCCACCTCCTTAATGCCAGCGGAGGGCGAGGAGCCCGGCAAACCCTGTTCCCCCGGCTGACCCGTGCCAGAGGGAGCAAAGGAGCGATGAATCCCTTAAAAAACAGCTTCCTGGTAGCCAGGGCTATTAAGCTCCAGAATATTCATCCAAGAGCAGTGCTGGAAGGACCCTGGGGCCTCCTAAAACCAGAAGGAACACAGTGTTAGAGGATATACGGCGGCACTAATGCTGTCCTGGCCCCAGCGGCGTGCTGGATACCCTTAATAGGCTGCATGTCCCTAACTACAGTGATTTCGATAAAAGATCTTCATAAAACTTCCAAATGCCCGTGCCGTCGCCTGCTTTTCAATCACTCTGAGCACTGCATCCCCTGCACAGCCTTGATGGAGTGTGGGCTCGGGTCCACGCCACCCCCACCGTCCTGGATGTGTCCCACCTATTCCCACCTGGTCCTGGGTGGTGAAAGGCTTTTGGGGAGCAGCTCCACGGCTCCGATTCGGCTCCTTGTGACTCGGGGAGGCTTGAGCTGAGGTCAGAGCAGCTCAGGATGAGGAGGAAGAACAAGGGATAAAAATGATTGAATGTGACTTTCTGGGTTTCCTGGTGTTTGGAGGGAGCTGGGGACTGGAGTGGCATAAAGAAGGACTGATTTAGGAGCTGCTCCAGCTCATCTTGTGCTGCGATGGCTCCCTCCGGAGCTACTTAAATAGCCCGTGCGTGGTGAGCGTGGGGCTGGCGCTTCCCCCTTTCCTGGGATGGCCGTGGGGATGTCTCCCCCAGACCAGCCTGAGGATCTGTCCCGTCCACATGGTCCATCTGAGGGGCCCATTCAGTAAAAGTGGGCTCCTGCCCCTCCCCTGCAGAAATGGGACCTCAACGGTGGAAATAAAACCATCCAGGTGAGCCCTGGGCCAGTATTTAGGGACAGGGCTCCTTTTAAACACTGGCAAATACATTCCTGGCACTGGAAAATTGGACGGGATGGGGGTAGGAGGAGGTGATGGAAAGGTTGGGTGCTGCTTTCAGCACATCTGAAGAAAACTTTTGTCCCTGCTGCTTTTTCCCCAGAAGGGTCCAAGCTGGGATGGTGGTGGGGTGCTGTAAAAAAATATACTCTCAGATTGTGCAGATTTCCAAAATCAAACCTTACCCACATGTTTCTAAAGCTTTGGGAAACCTCTTATTTTTTTTTTTTCCCCCCATGTCCAGGGGATCGAGCTCTCAGGGAGGGATGTTCTTGACATTGCAGTGAGCAGGGGATGGTTTTGGGGGGGAGGAGGATGCAGCCCCTCGCCCGGTGCTGATGCTCATCCCCTCCCCGCCCGGGGGAATTGACTCGCTATATAGGGGAGCAGCTGAGATTTTTATTTTTATTTTTTTAAGGTGTGATTTATCTGCAAGATGAATCGAAGGAAGCCTTGGCGGTGCTGCCAGGCCCTTTCTCCCGGCTCTGCTCATCCCAGCGCTGCTTTTCCTGGGTTTCTATTGCCCTCTAGTGGGATCTGCGCTGGGAAGGTGGGTTCGGACTGGGGATACTGGGGGTGCTGGGGGTGGAGGGGGCGGGGGGGACTCAGCTCTGCCGAGAAATCACAGGATGCTGAGCCCCGGGGGGAGTGAAATGGGGAGGGGGGAGGCTCTGGGAAGCACCTCCCGCTTCCCAAGGCAGCTTTCTAATAACGGGTCTTATTTTTGGAAGCGTGTTTTTCACAAGGTGTTACGGACCTCAGCAGAATTAAGGCTGGAAGGAGATTAGAAAGACAAAAAAGGCCGGGAAAGGGGGAATATATTTTTAAGCAGAAAGGTTGCAGTGACCTGAGGTGAGATGGGGGTGGGGAAGAGGCTGTTTTTTGGCAGCAGCAATGGCAAGGAAGAGGGTTTTGCAGTGAACTGTGGCTCTGGTGACACGCCACAAGCATCCACAGGCAGCAGAGGCAGCTTAACTACACGGGGGGGACACGTGCCGAGGGGTCTCGGTGGCTTTTGCAGGTGTCTGGAAGGTTCATCACCAAAGGGAAAGAGCTGGGCTCTCTCGTGCCGTGGAGGAGGAGGGATGAGGAGACAGAACGGCCCGGCAGGTCCCGTGCCCCCCTAAACTCCTGATGTTTGCTCCTGCAAAGCTGGAGCAGCTGCATGTAAAGCAGCGCTGTCAAGAATGTGATGCCAAAAGACCAAGGAAACAAAAAAACAAAAAAACCCAACAAAACCCCAACCCTGAGAGTGAAGATGCTCTGGGAGAGACAGCAGAGATCGGGAGGTCAGGGAGATTGGCTTATGCAGAGACTTAAGAGAAGCAAGGGAGCACAGAGAGGGTGGGAACCCAAGCCTTCAAACGCCTGACAGCTGTAAGGAGAGGGAGATAATTAATTCAGGTGTTGATTAAGAGGGATAT